GCAGGAATTACTGGCTCAAACTAAATCAGCAGGCATTAGGGCAGCCCACTGCTGTGTTTATAAAGGGGGGAAATGTAGCTTTGCCTGGCTTTGACGAGTGCCATTCATCTTTGTAATTCAATGTATATGTCACTACCAGATGACTCCCAAGATTTTGAGATGTTAAAGTGGCTCTCATTAAAATAGATCTAATGCTTTTCTGTGGGCTTTAAGATGCTGTGCATTTGTAATCAGCATGGTAAATGATCTTGAGTAATCCTACCAAGTAAAGATGGATATGCAATATACAGGCTTGCTCTCATGTTCCCAAAACTACTAAGTAGCCATAGTCAACTGCTGTTCCAGATCTAGTAATTAGACTGAACAGTGTAGGCCCAACTGGTGCCTGGCCTACTGAGAAGTATATACCTTAACTGGTTGTTCTTTCTGTGTCCATGTGAGAAATCCAGATTCAGCAGTTCCTGGATTTATTTGCATCAGGCTTGTTACAGGAGGTGGGTTTGAAAAGAGTCTTGGTCACATTATTTTCTGCCCATTTTCTTTCCTTTGATTTCTCCCTAAAGTTGCTTTTGTGGGTACATTGGAGGTCAGTCTGGAACTCTTTTGAGCATGAAGAAAGTAGAGTCATATTGCTAATGGAAAGGACTGAGAGATGATCTCTTGGCACAGTCAGGATTCACTAGAATGAATGCTTGACACCTGCTACTTTCAATCAGGGCTTTAGCGATCACAGAATACATTCACTTGCCTAAGGCTGGCCACAGATAACCGGGAAACTTCATTCTTATATTCTCTCTTCATTTGGCTTTAACAGTGAAGGTGTTAAACCAGATGACAGTGCAATTGAAAAGATACCCTACTTCAGATATTGGATCAAGGATATTAACCCTGAGAAGAACATGGCCATTTAAATTGGCCAGGGATTTTTTTCCCCCCTCAAGAGAAATGATCTTGTTGTGAAAAGAGGGAAAATTTCAACTTTATTGAAAAATATGGTTTTGGAGTAATGTTGTAGCCATAATGGTCCAGGACATGTATATCTCCCACAAAAATCCTTGATTCTTGCATCTTTTATTGGACCAACTACATGGTTGGGATAGATTTAGAGAAGGTTTCAAGTGCAGTGCATTCTTCTTTAGACATCACCCAGAAAAATTCTTGTGTCTGAAAAAATGTACATGTTTTAGGGAAGATTGAAATGACAGCCCCCACTTTTTTATGGCCACCTTAACATGAAATGTTATTTAAAAGACTACATTGTTTTCCTGTTCCCTCTACATCCATTTCCTCTATACCAGGTATTGCCTCTCTGTGTGTACACGCATACACTGTTATCTGACTTGCCACCCATAAAGCAAGAACATTGTCCCTCACCTTTAATTTTTGTCCCCCAGAACGGAAATCTGAGTTGGAGCGAAGAAGCTGATGGAGGCCGAGGAAGAGAGATCTCTCGTGACTTTGCCAAGGTCAGTCTCTCTAATTATTGGTGTTTATTATCAGTGGAAATTGGGGGGCAGGGAAGGAATAATTTCCCTTCACTTCATTGATAGGAATTACAAATCACTGCCTGTTCCTCTATGGTTTGAATGTGTGAAGCAACTACTCTGAAACTGCTCATTTCATGTTAAGGTGACCACCCCCTGTGATTGTGGATGTGTAGTATTCAGCCATTTTATTGCTCTTAATGGTTGAAATACAGCTTGCAATAAAACTTCATACCTACTGCACTATGACAGTTACTATTTTTTCATCAGCAACTATCTTTGTGTGGAAGGACAGGGTTTAGCTTCTTAAAACTGATTAGCAGATTTGGGCTGTGTCAGACTAATGGAATTTATTTTAAGCTAAGCTGGCCCTTTTTGAAAGGGTATAGTTAATTGCTGTATAAGTCAAGTGATGCATTTCCTTCCAAGTAGTGCAGTGTGTCTGAAGGGGTGGCCTACACAGGAAATAAACCCAATAAACTCATTTTCTTTTGAAAGAGTTGTGCTTTGAGTAGCTAACTCCCCATTTTGAGAGAGACAGGCACATGGTTATCTTGCTGAACCTTTGCTTTCCTATTGACCGTCACCTCAGAGAGCAGCTATAACCAGCAGGGGAAAAAACCCCGATTTCCAGTTATATGTATTCCATTTCTTTTCTCTGTGTGTCTCTTTTTCTTTAATTCTCATGTATTTAAAATGCTAGGATATTTTATGTGCGTCTCGATTAACAATACTGACCGACACAAGTTATATTGTGCCCTTGCAGTGCCTTTCAGAAGTGAAAATTGGATTCACTCTCCAACAGCTAGTTGTATGATTATCTTGCCTCTGTCTTCTCTGAAATATCAGAATAGTGCTAAGAAGTAGAATTTATTCTTTTTATTATTATTGAATAAGCAGTTGAACAAGATTTGATCAGAAGCCTTGTTTCTTTAAGGCACTCTGTCAAAACATTTCTGCATAACTGTTTCTTTATTGATTGTCCAGCTAAGTGCTAGTACTTTTTAGCTTATTTCAGAGGCGTATCTCCCATGGAGCGTTCCTTATTAACAGGATCTAAAAGATCTTTATTTTTCCCTCCCCTTTCAGGAGGTTGTCATAGAGGTGCAAAGCTCCAAGGAAAGAATAGAAAGGTCAGAAGAAGCCGCTTGTTAACCTTGTTAGTGCCTTGGGGATGTGGATGGGAGAGGTTGAAGTTTCTGAGCCGGAGTGTTACATTCCATTTTACATTCCTTTCTTTCCATTCTGGTTTTCTGTTTGGCTCCAAAATTTCCATCTCCCCTTCGCCCACAGGTGGGATCCTCAGAGCCCTTTCTTTCCTCTCCCCATCTCAAAAGTCCTGGGTTGCTGCCACGCTTCACTCCAACAAAAAGTGAATTCTTACTTCTTCCAAAGTCCCTTTCTCCACTATGCCTGAACAGATTCATGGAGAATGGTACAGAGCATCTCCCATCCAACAAAGGGGGCTCAGTCTGCCACCACTTCAGCCTTGTCAGCTCTAAGAGTTAAAAATTCTGACTTTTAACTTGCTGTACAGCTGGAAGCTGTCCCACCATTGTATCACCAGCAGAAGTCCAGGATATATGGTGGTGGTATCTCTTCCATCTTCCCTCGCCTGGGTTACCTCTTTTTTTTTCTTGATTCCTCAGCTGTATGAACTGGATAGTGACCCTGAGCGGAAGGAGTTCCTGGATGACCTTTTCATCTTTATGCAGAAGAGGGGTGAGTGAGTCACTTGCTTTGTTTGGATCATCTAAAATGGGACAGTGGAGCCCAGGCCCTAGCTTCCCCCTGTGCTGGGATTGACTCAAAAGGAGCAGACTTCCCCTTCAGCTTGCTGGTTGAGTACGAGAACAGCATTGTGACCTGAGTTAATTATCTTGGGAGTAAAGGGGCTGGGCAAGGAAGAGCCATTCTACCTTAGAATATTGGATTATTGGAAATTTCCCTGCTTTCTGCTCCATCTGTCTAAAGAAACAAAGGTCTCCAGGATTTATTTTGGAAGGGAACTGGCATACTGATTTCTGAAACATTTAGGCAAATCTCTCCCTTCCTTGGAATAAAGTGCTTTGTTGACATGTTCCCCTACAAAAGCCCCCAGCATTTTATTTTCATAACTCAAATAGAGAATGTGTGTGAACACCCTTAAAAATCAAAACCAAACAAAAAAAAAACCAAACCAAAAACAGGATCTGCATACTGAGTCAGGGGCTTACATCTGTGTTTAGACCCAATCATCAGGGAACTGTGAAAATGTGCAAAAGCATTGTTTTCCTCTTGTCATACATATTCTTCAGGCTTGGATTTTCTGTTTCATCTCCATTTGCTTAATTCAGTCCAGGAACATCATTCAGAAGAAACTGCTTGTCATGTGCTCAACCACTTTGTCAGGAGGCAAAACTGACGTGGGAGCCGTGGAGTCACTCAGCTAGAATATGGTATAGATACTTCTCTATCATCTTGGTATGCAAGTGTAGTTCCTCCAGATTGATGAAAAATGCCTGTATCAGTCTAGCTAACAGCCCCTTGTGCAGTACAAAAATTGCTAAAGCAGCATTTTATGGCCAGAGAGCTGTGACATGCCATACTGAAGTTTGTCCATGGATGTTTTAGGCAGATCTATAGACCTAATCTTGCAACAGGTAAATAACATTCTCTGATATACTGCTATGCAATAAAGAGCCATACTGCAGTCCACTTATCTCAACAAGGCCTGCAAGAACAGGTACAGTGAATATTTGCCATACAGGAAGGAAGAGCTTGTCCTTAGCTCCTGTTCATAATAGTATAATAATCTAAAAGCCAGCTTACTTTTCCTAGGCTCTTATAGAAACTGGTTCGTTAGCATGGTTATGCCTTGAGATCTGGTAAGGAATTAAGTAGAGGTGCCACGGATACATCGGTCTGATATTGGATCGGCACTAGTATAAGGAAAATGACTGTATTGGAAATCGAAGTGGCCAATAATTTGGTCGATAAATGCCTGTGTGTGCGCACAGCCCAGCATACAGGCAATGAGGAGCAGAGCCCAGCAGCGTGGAGAGCTGCATGCAACTGGTAAGTCTGTTGTGGTGGAAGGGGCGTGGCCCCCCACGGTGAGGGAGGGAGTGGGGCCAGGGTAGGCGCTGCCCAGCCCAGGTGGAGTGAGCGCTAGGTGGAGCTGTGGCTCATCCGTGAGGGCACGGGAGGAGGGAATGTGTGCCCCGGGGGCGGGGGGGGCAGGCAGGCTGCAGCTGCAGATTGGGGCTGGAGATGGCTGCGCTCGGGGCAGGCAGCAACGGTGCTGGGAGGGGGGTTATGGGGAGGGCTGCAGCCATCCCAAATTTCACTGTAGCCCCCTCCCCCCTGTAACCCCCTCCCACCACCACTGCCACCCGCCCTGAGCGCAGCCCAGTCCCCAGCCTCAAGATGCAGTCTGCCTGACCTACCCCGCACAGATCCAGGGGTACATGTTCCCCCTGTGCCCTCCCGGACAAGTGGTGGGAGCTACCAGATGAGCAGCACGCAGTTGTGGGAGCCACATCCCGCCCCCTTTCCTGCACCCCCCCAGATGAGCAGCGGCTCTGTCCTGCACCCGCCCCACCCCAGCTGGGCAGTGCCTGCCCCAGCCCCTCTCCCTCACCTCAGGGGTGTTGATCTGCTCCCCCCTCCCCTTTCACCACAATGGGCTTACCAGCTGGACGCGGCTGTATTGGAAATTGGATTGGTATCAGCTGATATGCTTCCTTAAAAATCAGCTATCGGTATCGGGCCCCAAAATCTCCATTGGTGAACCCTTAGAATTAAGGGATGATGTCTCAGTCTTCTGAAGCCAAAGAACAGCTGGTATGGTAAAGTAACTTTCTGGGACTGGAATTTGAGTCTCACCACTACTGAATTCCTTGATTTCAGCAAGTATTTTTGGGTGCTTCTATTATGAAGCTCTAAGGTAGTCGTTCTTAACCAGGGTGCAGCAGTTTAGGAGCTTGAACTTGTTGCACTGAGTCAAAATCAGTAGGCAACGGCATAAGGCGGCCTGATTAGTTTACTTAAGATTTTTTTTCTGAGCTGCACATTTTGTGGTAAAGGGATGAAAAATACCATTATCCTAAAAGCGTAAGATTGGCAGTAATGAAAATCTCCAGGTACCTTGAGAGCGAAATAGGCTTAATACCTTGGTGTTTCCTTCCAGTTGCCTATTAATTATTTATAAACAACACACTCCCAGCCCAGAGGCTGAGCTGGTTGCCAGCTGGCTGCTGTAGGTGCACAGCTTTTAATCAGCTGTGTATTTCCACTGTTTTGTTTTTGTGCAACTCTTGTTTTCCAAAAGGCTATTTAAGAGGAAATATATGAGCAAACCCAGCTGTGTGAGCCATCACATCTGGCCTGCGGGGCTCCCCATGGGGTGGGAAACTTGGCAGTGGAGGAGCGGTGGCCATTAATATGATCACCCTCACCCTGCCAAGTTCACAAAACCCAAACCTCATACTGTTGGTTGTAGCTGGGCCAAGCCCACTCCCCCACATCTGGATCGGAGCTGGGCCACACCTCCTTCCCCTTGTAGCCACACCCAGGTTGGGACCAGGCCATGCCCCCTGATGCTGAGGGCTTCCCCCACCCCCAGATGCTGGGTTGGGACTGGGCCATGCCCCCTTTTACCCTGCAGGGCCAAGCTGCACCCCCTTTCCCCCACAGGGCCAGGTTGTGGCTGGGCTGCCCCCTGTCCCCCTCTGCATGGCTGGATGTTACCCACAGCACCCAGGTTGGAGCCACTGGTAGGATCTGGTCTGCAAACAGATAGGGCACTGCCTATTCTGCCTGCTGGGGAAAAAGTTGAGCATCACTGAGCTAGGCTGCACATCCCATGAGTGCTGTGTTATTCATCTAGCAGCCTTTATTTTTGTGGCAGTCCCCTAAAATGTCATTGGAAAGACTCTGTGAAGGTCAGTTGCTCAAGCTTGCCTGGAAACAATGTAGTGTATAAGGGAGACCAGAGCAAGGAACTACATCATCTCCTCAGTATCTCTGATCTGCCTCTTTTTTTTCTTTGTTTTGTTTTTAAATCCCAGGTAGTCATTCTGACTTGTAGCTGGGTTTTTCAGAGGCTGCACTTAATTGTTTCTCTTCCATTTCTTTGGCTGGACCACCACTAAGCAGTCACCATAGCATTTCCCTATGATACTTCACTATTGCCGACAATGGTAAAAGACAATTGTAGCTGCATATCAGGTAGACATTGTATGCACACTTTGGGGTCTGACATAGTCCAAATACATAGTCATTAACATAGCAGATCGGACACACAGATCATAGTTCAGTCATCCTTTTGTGGCCCCATCCAATGCACAAAATTAAGTTTCTTTCCCATCTGAACACAGGTATACTCTTCTGGAAGAGTCCATCAGAAAGACTGATAAACTGAAGCTTTGGTGCAGCTGAGAGCAAAGTGCTACATTTCCTTGTATGTGCAAAGAGCTAGTTAGTTTGCCCCCCAGTTTGGAGTGGAAGTGTCGGCAGCTCTGTTTTTCATTATCCCTGGTGTAATGAGGGTCACTGTGCTGTCCTCCTGCAGCAACTCTGGGGGAGGCTGGCTCTTGTTTGGAAGTGGTGAGGAGATGTGAGCAGATTGATAACGGATGCTGATCCTGGAGGTCCGATGTGAAAGTTAAACAGCAGATTTCACAGGAGATGCTGAAAAATCTCTGAGGATGAAAAGACATGGCTGCTGCCGCCGCCGCTTGGAATGTACCTAGAATGTGGAGCCATGAAATGGGCTTAATGCAGATCAAATGTGCAGGTTTCATCTGCCTCTGAGCACAGCAGGTTGTCACTGAACAGCTACAGCTGCAAGTGATAAAATGGCCCCCCAGTGGCAATAATGATGGTGGAAGGAGATGAGAGGAAAGCTGTAACTCTTCCTTTGTTGGGAGAGTGTTTTTTTGGTTTGTTTTTTGTGTTTTTTTCCCCTCTTGCACAGATTTAGGGGAATCGGCCCATCCATGACTAGGCCTCAAGGTGAAGTTGCTACTTGTGCTTTACTACTACTTTCCCCTTCTAAACCTTCCTTCCATCTCCCTCCACTAGGACAGGCTGCAAGATTGTCCTTTCTGGGAACCACACAATTTCCCCTTCTGCCACAAAAAGAGTTAATTTTAGGGCATGTGAAAGTTTATCTGCAGCTAGGTGGGATGAGACTGGCATTTCATGGGTCTCTGTATATGCTTCTGCCAGCAGAGCTAAGTCCTGCTGTTTGGTCCTGGGCTTTAGCAGAGGATAACGACTTTGTGATACTGCATAACAGTTTTATGGCTCAGGCAAATATCCGTAGGCTTTAGATGCTCCCTAATGTTTATGAACCACATATATGTGACCCAAAATGAATTGGAAAAGCAATCCTATAGAGGCCAGACTAGAGCATCTTTAAATAGTGTGCTCCCTATGAAAACACATAATGTATTCCAGTGTGCCACGTCCTTTTGTCTGGCAAAAAGAACATGCTTATTTCTGTGGATCTTTGATCTATATTTTCTACATGGGCTGTATGTATAAAACTCACAACATCTTCAGTGTTGCCTTCTGCTGTCAAATCCATTCCCTCCTGCTCTCCTTTCATAAAGCTTTTTTTAACTGACAAATTTAAATTCAACCTGGCATAGGCCTAGAACTATATTGTTGCTTATCAGAACCTTTTAGTGCCTTCCCTAAATTGAGTGAGCCTCATGCAGTGGAGGTAAGTGGCA